TTATTGATGGTTAGCATAGCGGGATCTAGCTGGCATTTGGATTGGTGTGCTCCATTGGTAGACATGCAGATGTAGATATAGAGACTATGAATATTTCACAAAGGCCAAGGCTTGGAGCTAGATGCTGAGGAAGGGAATAAAAGACGAAAAATGAAATTAAAAATTCATGGAATAAAGTAGACCAAACGATTTGGGTAATATTGAAAGGGCATGCTTGATGCTGATATGGTGGTGGGGATATTGGATGTCGAACATATCGGTTTATCTGGTAAATGGTTATATTTAATATGAATATGGGGGTGGCATATTAAATGTTGAACACATAAATTTGTAATATGAGGAGGATAATAATAATAATAATAATAATAATAATAAGTATGCATATTTGCATTCAATCCCTTAAATATGTTCGCAACGCTACATAATTATTACATTAGACCTGAGTACTTGAACAAGGGGAGGAAAGGATTTATGCATCAAGAGGTTCTGGGGGTATTCAAGAGGGCTTGCAAAAGTTGAGTTCCTTCACGACAGAACAGTGTAAAATGATTGGACAGCTATTTTTAGAACCAGATTCAAAATGAAAATTGTTTATGGGAGTATTGACATCACTTCCAAAATGAAGCTATGATGGTAAATTTGTCCAGGGTGTTTATCAATTAGAATGGAGATATAATACCCTGGATAAGCCAAGATGATCCAAATAGGCAAATTTACCAAAGACATAATCAGCCCTGATTCTGCCTGCATGCACGAGATAGACTGATACCACAAGTGGTTATTAACATGGACTGTTCTTTGAACACTGGTGCAGCTGTCCACCATGATTGTGGAGAGTGTCAGAACTTTCACATTCTAAAGCCGTGGTGTATTACTTAAGCTGGGGGGAGTGGAGGGGATATGTCTACGAATGTACTATTGGTCTTCCTGAGTTACCTCCCTTGACACTGCCAAAATACCACTTGGACCGCTGAGACTTCTCGATTTTCAACTGAAAGGTTATCACTGGGAATAATAGCTTTGTTAGACAAACCGATGTCTGTAATTTGAAAGTTATTCCATCTGTTTGGGTTTCATGCAAAAGTTGCACCTAAGCTGCTGCTGGCCTTCAAAGTAGCCGTCAAGCGGTCATTTCATAAACGGCTTCAGTGCCTTGCCGGTCTATTGGATACTGCGACTGCCCGGATAGCGGAACGTCAGTGGTTTGATCCCTGGCATTGTCATACCAAAAGAAGGTACTTGTATTACCCTGCCTGGCGCTTGGCATTAAGGGCTAAAACAAGGACTGGTCGGCTTAGAGTCAGTATACTGTGTCTAAATGGAGTATTCATGTTAAACAGAGGAGACCCATGAATGTAGCGGGTTAGAATAGGTCTACAACAACCCATGCTTGTGAGAGGCCACCAATGGGATCGGTGGTCAGACACACTGACTTGGCTGATGCATGTCATCGTATCTCAACTGTGTGGATGGATCAATGCTTGTAATGTTAATTGCTGGATTGTCTGGTCCAGACTTATTAATTATTTACAGACCACCGTCATGTAGCTGGAATATTACTTTGTGCTGTGTGAAACAAACAAACAAATAAACAAACAAAACATTAAGCTGAGGCATGGTGTTTCAGTTGGCTAGCAATATGAAAATGGACTACAGCCTGGACTAGTACAAACAGCCAAACACACACACACGTGCTTGCACTTCGGTAAATAAGTGCAATGATCTTGACCGCGATGCTAAGCCCCATTTGACCTCACATCAGCTTTGTGGGGCAAGACACTGGTTGTTATCTTTAATATCGTTTGCAAAGGCATTTCCCAGTTCTCCTTATAACATTCAACACAAATTGTGGTTCTCTATTTTAAAATTACAAACAGCTACATTTGTGTTATAAAAAACTTTCACTTCCATATGAAAAGAGGATTATCTTCGGATGCTCTAATATTAAATCTTTGATACCAAATTGTTACACCCCAGCTGTGAATGAATGGTTTTAATACAGTAATGGAAATTGCAAAATCTTGAGCATAAAAAAAACATGTTTCAACTCCCATCTTGAGCGTCCCTACTTCCATGGCGACGGTGATTTTCTTTCACGTGTACATTAAATCTTCAATGTGGAGATTTATTGAAGTTGTAAGTCTCGGGCCCTGTGGTAATGCAGTTGGTCCCTATTGACTCTCGTGGCACAATGGCCGTCTGGGAGAGTGTGTCGGTGTAGTAACTTGTACTTGGCTGTGCACTTTGAAACTTTAAGTTAGATTCCAAGTCAGTCTACATGTATTGTGGCGATGGCCGACGTCGTGCTCGTTTGCGGACTGCCTTAATTGACAGGAAGTCGCTCGTCTCGCGACAAGAAGCCAGTTATGAAGTAATTTTGCGCTCGACCAGACACCAGCTAAAGCGATTTAGTGAGAGCAAGGGGCTAGGCAAGGGAGACAATCATGTTTGAGCACAGTAAATTAAAGAGAACTGTTCTCGCTGTTGGTGTAAACTGTTTGGGCAGTGAAAGATGTCTGGCAATCTGGACAACAGAGATCATCTAGACCGTAGACGCTGACCATCACACGATCTGGACGCAGATGCATCGTCTCATTGAACACGGCTGGCTCCTTGAGACAATTGTGGCCAGGCTAAAAGGTTGGCGACCATAAACTGCTCGCGTGGTCAAGCCAGCGATAGATTAATGGTCTGATCATGGTCTGTGGTCTGCCTGAAAAGAGCTGTGAAATCTTAAATAAAACAAAATACCATTAAGCCAATACGGATTGTCTCCTCACAGGCCTGCCTTGCTGGAAGCAGCAGGGTTATTGCCCTCTTGTTGGATTCTCAAGTCCGGCACAGATTTGGTTGGGTCGGAAAAAATGAGAACAAAGAGGAGACAGGGTTTTCAGTGGGTTTCTGTGATTGTTGGATTGCTTGTGAGAGCTTTCCTCACACTGAACAGATAACAGCAAGTGGGCGAGGCCGGATGAGGATGCGTTTAGCCGGCTGTATCTGGACCTATTGCACTGTAGGGAGAGATAGGCAGCTTAATAGGCTGACTTGTATGTATTATGTAGTATGGCCTATGAATGTTTCATTTGCTGTCTGGTAGTGTGGGTTGTATTTAAAAGGCAATGTTTTTTATGAAACTTAGGCCTCGTGAGGGTTGTTGTTAAGGGATCAGTGGACATTGATAGGAACGTAATGGAGCTGTTTTAGAAAATCGGGAGAGTGAACATGTTGTGGTTACGTCGCACTCAAGTGTGCAGGAGAGTTAAACAGCGATAGAAATTGGCACTAGTCCTTGCCAAACTGCCCAATGGGTAAGGTGTCATAGGCCTTAAGAACTAGTAGAAATATGCCATATTTAAGGGTTTTCTGTGTGTAATTATAAGGACTCATGGACAAAATATGTTCATTTCTATCGCTGAAGGGAAAGAGATGTCTGGCAAGAAATAAGATGACATGGAGTTGGAGAAAGCCTTTGAAACATATTTGATGATGTTTAGTGTCAGGTCACTGCCAACCAGAAGATTACTTTAGATCCATCTTCAATCTCAGTCATTTTCACTTCACCAAGGTTAGGTAAGGAGCAAGTGTAGGGCTCGATTTAAGGAACTTCATGTAACCTGCACTAGGTACATGTGCATGTGAAAACCTAGTTGCACCAAACTAAACCAGATTGCACCAGGTACATGTGGATGTGAAAACCGAGTTGCACCTGTCCGAACCAGATTGCACCAGATGCATGCTGACATGAAAACCTAGTGGTTGCACCAGACTAAGCCAGAATGCACCTTGGTCCCCAAAATTAAAAAAAGTTGAAACATAGATGCATAAATAGTCTGAATAAATAAATCTCACATCACAGATGAACGTGTCATAATTTTATATAAATTAATAACCTATTGCTGTAAACGTGATAGGAACATGTGCGCACAATCTTGAAGTACCCACGGTGTGATGACGTCAATCCCAAGACCAGATGACAAATAACACATAATACAAGGACTAGTGATGTAGCATGTTACAGAAAACTTCGAGGTAATCAGTATGTTCAAAGATCGTTGTTGTGTGGACAAGTAAGGGTTAGTCAGACACAAGTTAATTATTTTTATATGCCCTTGATGCATGTAGATATATATAGTATGTTGCCATTTTCAATAATAGGTTGCACATGTGCAAGTTTTATAAAGCTATATCATGCCTTGCCCTTTGTTATTTCTGAGTCCTCAAAGTTTATTGTGTGAGTCACACTGTGCATTTACAATGTCCATATGGTCAGCCGTGTTTGTCATGTTTATGAAAAAGTCTAGCTGCCACTCCGTTGTTTACAAATGTGATTCTAAGTGTGTTCTTCAGGCACCAGGATCTTATTACCATCTAGGCACAGTAACACAAGGAGTTTCTAACCTTTAAGACAAATATTATGTCAAACATAACACGATACTTCCTAGGTTTGAAATTCATTTTGACCTTGTAGGCTTAGTCCCTATAATAACAGTAAAATCTACTGACCCGTGAAGATCCGGGGTAGAATATGTCTTCAGCAACCCATGCTTGCCATGAAAAGCGACTGCTTGTCGTAAGAGGCGACTATCGGGATCGGGTGGTCAGGCTCACTGACTTGGTTTGATGCATGTTATCGTATCCCAATTGCGTGGATCGATGCTCATGATATTAATCACTGGATTTTCTGGTCCAGACTCGATTATTGACAGTCCGTTGTCATATAGCTGGAATATTGCTGAGTGTGACGTTAAACAGCAAACTTAAGATTTACTGAAAAGAGCCTTTTTGGGCAAGTACAACAAATGTTTTCTACCTTGCAGTCTGCAACTAGTTTGAAGCCCGAGGCTAGTAACATTCTATTCGGTCTTTTAAGCTCAGCTGATAGTAGTTCATATTGTGACACTAAAATCTATTGAAAATGTTGCCAACAGACTTTTTGGGGCTTGTGCTCTGAAGTTTCTGGGACAGAATGCCTTGTACTAATATGGTTTACTTTATTTCAGAATTTAGACATGGAGTTGTGTACCTGCAGTGGATGATGCACTGTCTGGACTAGGTGAGTACATGTTATTGTTTAGCAGGGGAAGACACGGTTGGTCACACCACACTAGTCTGGAGCTCATTTTGTACGGACTAGTGGTTCATGTAAAACAGCTAGAGTTGGGGAGAAGTCAACTAGTCTGGCAAGTCTTCAGCGATTGTAGCTGGTCCTGCTTCAACAAGACAAAAATACTGTGTTTACATTTTCTGTCAATTTTGTTCAGTTTCAATTTGTAGCCAAATTGAAGCATTGAGAACTGTTTCAGAATTATAACAGTTTTTACCAGTCATTGGTGTTGTATTTGTCCTAAGCACAGTTTTGTAGTCTCGGACTAGCGTGAATTTCGAAGGAGTGAGTGAGTTGGGTTTAACGCCGCTTTTAACAGTATTCCAGTTATATCACGGCGTGTCAGCTTAATGTGGGAGGAAAGGAATTTCGAAGGATAGAACAATAAGGTATGAGCCAAAGGTTCTGAGTTGGTGGTATCTTGATGCTTGATACATCGTCAATCTATACTAGTGTGACTAATGTCATCATCCCTTCTTCATGTCCTCAGCAACTAAGGGTGAAACAATACACCGATATTCCGATGCATCGCGATACTTGACCCACGATATGATATACGATAAACATGGGCCCATTTAATCGATACACCACGATACGGAACGGAAATCTCAAGTACAGCGTTTCCTCGCTATTGTGACTTTCAATAAACCGCTAACTTGGTTATAGCGCGCGGTAACTCATGGCTCCCCAAAACATACTTACATTTTTAATAAGCTCAGATTTTACACCGACAGATGTTTTTCCCCATCTAAAAAAACACTATCAGCTGATCACCGCAAGCACATAACACCGAAAATACCAGTCAGCAAATCCGAACTGAAGTACGCAATTCAATATCTTTATTATACTATCTTGTTATTAAAACGTGTTCATTGTATATCTGGACTTGTGTTTGTAATATATTTTATTTATTTTATTCAAAATTTCATTTAATGTTGTTTTCATTAAGTTATGTGAAATCGTGTGTGAAGAGATACAGCAACCACGGTCAGATTACCGCTTTTGACGCACTGAAACGAACTTTAGTTGCTAGAGAATGGATACATATATTAAAAATGCCATACTTTGACTCGTTATAAGTCATATTTGTGGCAGTTTGGCTAATATGTCAACATAACGTTTTCGCAATCGAAATACATGTAGCACGGGAAATCCCTAGGGTGACTGGTCAAATTGTTCCGTACGTAAAAAATATCCTGCAACAGCAATCACCAGTACCAAAATGCTACACTTGTGGTTCTTATAATTTGAAATATATATATAGTAAAAGCTGCAACTAAGGTAACACGATATTGGAATATATTATTCCTGATAAAACAATAATTTCAGATACAATTTCTTCGACCATTGCATCAAAATTCTTTGAAGTTGTATCACTGGTGGAGTACATTAATTATTTTTCTGGTGTTTGAACTTTGAATTGTTTTAAAGGGAAGTTAGAGAAAGTTCCACTTTGAAGCTGAACAACTTCAGTAGTCTTGTTATTATAAAATAATTTTGACTGTTTTTTTTTTATCAAGATGCGTATCGTATCGTGACCTTCCTGTATCGTTGCAGCCCTATCAGCAACCCATGCTTGCCGTAAAAGGCGACTATGCTTGTTGTAAGAGGAGACTGACAGGATCGGGAGGTCAAGCTTGCTGACTTAGGTGATGCATGTCATCGTATCCAAATTGTGTAGATCGATGCTTATGATGTCAATCACTGGATTGTGTGGTCCAGACTCCATTATTTACGGACCATGTAGCTGGAAGATTGCTGAGTGTGGTGTTGCACAAACAAACAAACAAACAAACCTGTACTTGCACCACTGAGTAATAGAGGTCATATATGAAAAAAAGAAAAGTATGATTTGCCTACATCATTTCAGGTTTAATTTTCTTACTAAATTGATTTGGTGATTGTCAGTGCTAGTTGTGATCCTCCTAGAGTCTGAGAGCTCCCTGTACGACTGTGCAATGCGTACATCAATATCTGTCTCCATGATTAGGAACAATGTATATGTCAACTTTTGCTGGGGTTTTGTGTGCAGTCTGACAGCGCCCCTAATGATTAGCCTGTGCCACGCTGCTGTAGCATGTAGTCATCAAGTCGTATTTCCAGTCTGCTCTCAAGTCGTGGCAATGGTTTGATGTACCGGCTAAACTTGCCCGGAGTGGTGAACTTTGTTATGGTCTGATGTGGAGTAACATGGTGGAAGTTAATGTTGTGTAATTGAATTTATGAGAATATTTTGTGATTTTTAACTTGTCCCTTTTCTACCAATGATTGATCCACATGATCAATGCTCGTAAAGTCTTTGTGAACCGAGTCCACTTTCAACCCACTCCTCCCATCACGGATGTTACCAATTTACTTTTCACACCCAGGCAGTATCCTACATCCATACATCTACCCTCCCCTGCCTTCCAACACACACTCAGCCACCCTACGACAACCACCCCTACATACCACCCCATGTATCCACCCCACCCATCTCACATCTCTACATCTACCCTCCCCTGCCTTCCAACACACACTCAGCCACCCTACGACAACCACCCCTACATACCACCCCATGTATCCACCCCACCCATCTCACATCTCTACATCTACCCTCCCCTGCCTTCCAACACACACTCAGCCACCCTACGACAACCACCCCTACATACCACCCCATGTATCCACCCCACCCACCTCACATCTCTACATCTACCCTTCCCTGCCTTCCAACACACACTCAGCCACCCTACGACAACCACCCCTACATACCACCCCATGTATCCACCCCACCCATCTCACATCTCTACATCTACCCTCCCCTGCCTTCCAACACACACTCAGCCACCCTACGACAACCACCCCTACATACCACCCCATGTATCCACCCCACCCATCTCACATCTCTACATCTACCCTCCCCTGCCTTCCAACACACACTCAGCCACCCTACGATAACCACCCCTACATACCACCCCATGTATCCACCCCACCCATCTCACATCTCTACATCTACCCTCCCCTGCCTTCCAACACACACCCAGCCACCCTACCACAACCACCCCTACATACCACCCCATGTATCCACCCCACCCATCTCACATCTCTACATCTACCCTCCCCTGCTTTCCAACACACACTCAGCCACCCTACGACAACCACCCCTACATACCACCCCATGTATCCACCCCTTCCACCTCACATCTCTACATCTACCCTCCCCTGCCTTCCAACACACACTCAGCCACCCTACGACAACCACCCCTACATACCACCCCATGTATCCACCCCACCCATCTCACATCTCTACGTCTACCCTCCCTAAATGCAACCCCCACCACCCTTTATCTGTCCCCAACACCCTGTATCCTAGCCTACTAACACATATCCTACCCAAAGCCTAGCTATATCCCACCCCCTATACAATCTCCAGACACACCATATCCCATCCCCAGACATACTATATCCCATCTCCACCACAGACACACCATATATCCCACCTACAGCCCTGCTATATCCCAACATGCTATATCCCATCTCCACCACAGACACACTGTATATCCCACCCACGGCCCTGCTATATCCCAACACGCTATATTCCAACACGCTATATCCCATCCTCACACTCTGTATCTCAACCCGAGACACGCTGTATCCCATCCCCAACACCCTATATCCCACCCCCAGACACGCTATATCCCATCCCCAACACCCTATATCCCGGCCCCAGACACGCTATATCCCATCCCCAACACCCTATATCCCACCCCCAGACATGCTATATCCCATCCCAACCATGCTATATCCCACCCCACCACCCTTCCCTAGTCACCTTATATCTTATCCCAAGTTATCCTATAAACCCACCCAGAACCACCCTATAGCCCTGTGACCCAAGTCTCCCCAATATCCCACCTCTGCCACCTACACCTCACTTGAGCTTCGCCTCGTCTCTAGGCGTGTCAGCCCTATACCCATGGTAAACATCTAAAACCTGCATCACTTCGGGCTTTCTTCCCACATCAAGCAAGACTCTCCCAGACACGAGAGAATTCTGTATTGCCTCAGCTCTAGGATTGATTATGGTTGTTCTGGGCTCCATTTGGATTTTAGTACAGTAAACTACGGTTATAACGAACACGCTTATAACGAACTGACCGATATAACAAACTTATATTTTAGTCCCAGACATTTGTTGTATATATGCTGTATATAGGCATATAATGAACTACGGTTATAACGAATTAAAATTAGTGGTCCCTTTGAGTTCTTTATAACCGTAGTTTACTGTACTTTTATTTTGAAGACACCGTATATGTTGTTAAATAGGATAATTATGTTTCTGGGACTAAATGTCAGTCTGAGATGAGCTGACACACCATGATATCATTGATGTAACTGAATCACTGTTCAAAGGGGCATAAAACCGAACTCACTTACTCACTCATATCAACCCGACTGGCCCCAGAGTTACAAATGACTCATGGTCGTCTGGTCAACACGCTCCCCGGTCACTTAGCAGACTTGAAAGTATCCGATTTACAAAATCAATCAGTGTGAGTTTTGTTTTAAGGGGCTTCTATCAAGGGACACTACACTTGAAGGGCTTGTGGCACTGTCAGACACCCAGAAAGTTGAGCCTTTCCTTGTAAAACTGATGTCAGACACAACACAGTCATAAATCTTCCGGCCGGGCCTGACCAGGGGTCAGCAACACACAATCCCCTACCTCGGACAGGGATAGTCCACTGTCTGACCGCATTAATTACTGGATCAGAAAATGGCTACCCATTGCCACTTTTGCCGCAATATAAAAATGCGATACTTTGATCAGGGGCTATATGTTCTCGGAATTGGTCGTATGTCTGGCGGAATATTATGTGGGAAAGAGACGGAATACCAAGGGTCGTAGAAGGTCAATATCTTAGATTTATCGCTCGTCTGTTGCTGGTTATTAAACGGACAATTCT